TAGTAAAGCGTTATACAAATACAGGCCATTTACCATTTAATTGTCACATGTCCAAACTGATGAACAAATTAACGTCATATATTCTGCAAAACCTTAATTCATGTTCCATATATTAAATGCCTCAATGAGTGGATTTTTAACAGCGCTACAGTGTGGATTCAACATAAGTATCTCCAACCAAGATTCTGTATGCAGGAAAAAAAAGAATCTCTTGAGGATCTAAAATAGAGACTAGACAAAGCAGCTGGATTCAACAGCATCTTAATCAAACAATACAGGAGAAGTAGCAGGAGAGAAAAAACTGAGTCAGGGGAGGTGGTATGTGAAGTAGAGGGGAAACAGCAGAGGAATGAAAGACAAAGCTGTGAAAGCAGGGGTTGATCTGCCCTGCAATTTCTGAGTACTGAACTGGAAAGCAGGTGAGGTTGAACATTCAACCCACTTTCTTCCAACCCAGTTTATCTGTGAACTGTTGCCATAGCTATCGCTCCACTGCCTCTTGCACTTGGTAACCATGGAGTTCACAGGGTTATCAGACACGGGTAGAGCAGTAAGATTAAATAATCCTGAGGTTTACTTTTTAAGTCAACCAAGATGCTAACCAAGAAATGCCATGCATAGGGATGGAGAGATGAAGAAATCTCGATGGTTTAGGGATGTAAAGATGAACACGATTTTCCTTGCTTATATACATCTCAATTATCACAAGCTTTTAAGGCTCAACTGACATGTTCCAGCCTTTCCTGGGAATTCAAACATCTTAAGTCACTTGACTCTAATAAGTCAAGCTAATAAACGACAACAATACAAGCGTAGTGCATACTACAAATTGGTGGAAAAGCCTGTTCTTACCATGAAAACTGCGACCAGTGTTCAACATTTGTTTTTAAAAACAGATAAATGCCATCACCATTTACAGTATTATTTGCTGACGTTATATGCGTAGATGTTTTGCAATTTTGCATAATATATTTCAACCCCGTGGCATATTAGTTACATTTTCTGCCTCTTTCCTTTGCTGCATCCACTGAGTCACTGTTCATCCAAGTAAACTGATTCTGAATGGTGCATTTTTGCCTCGCATGCTTCAACGCCTCAGCATATCCAGGGCGAGCCAGCTCTGCTCTGAGTCCTACTTGACAGAGATGTCCAGACCCCAGACAGCTTCAACAATGGAGCTAGTGTCTATGGTAGTAGACCATCTCTCGCTGGGCCTGAGCGACGGCCGGGTCGATGGGAGTTCAGGTCTGTAAACGGCAGCAGCGTCTGCTCGGTGCGCTTGCACTCTTAAACTCTTAAATCACAGCATAGGTAGATCTTCTTACTGTCCCTTTTCACACGAGAGAACAGTAGCCTCACAGAAAAGATATCTGTTCTAGAGATCAAATTTCTATTGAACATAAAAGGTAGCGACATATGAGGCAAATGTATGCAAAAAAGCACTGTGTAGATTTTACAACCTAATGTAGCCAGAAGCTAAATAACAAACAAGGACACGCAGAAGGCAAGTAATTGAGGTCTAATGGCCAATGGCCTATACCATTAAAAGACAATTTTACCAAAGCCTGTAAAGACAATTTGTCTAAATCGTGCCCTTTTCTGTCCTAGATCAGGGCCACATGTTGTTGTGTATGCAAATAATTTCTTGTATCTGCTTTGAATCATGGACACTACATGCACTGGGTCACCTGAAACACTGAACTGTTTATCGAAGATAAATTTAGAGAACTGCCCGTTTTAGCGTCTAGTATTTGATTGTATATCTCAGCCTGTTAGCACTGGGGTAGGCTTAAATAACATTTAAAGCAGATTAAGGCAATGACTGTGGTCTCGGCAACCCTTCTCATCCCCTCTGTCCTCATTTTTCATTTCTTCCTTGCTGCTCTTTACTTAGCGCAGTCCTCACGCCATCCATCATGCTTCCATCCTCTTCTCCTTCTCTGCATTGTCCCCTCCCTCCCTCTGCTGGCATGCCTGGGGGAATTGATCAGGTCCTCATCGCTCAGCCCAGCTGTCACTCTCGCTCCTCGTTCTCTCCGATGTCAGACCATCGGGCTGGCGCGTGTCACCGTCTCCACAGGAGCACTGGCTTCACGCCTGAGGTGACAAGCAGCTGCAGAGAGGGTGGAGCCAGACAGACCGAGCAACTTGACCTCGTGCTCACCTCTCATTAATGCTACTGGGCGATTGGTAGGCTGGCACGCTGCCTGTCACTCAAATTGCACAGGAGTGGCCTGAATAACCGAATTGCTGTACTCGATCGGTAGGCCAGCCAGGTGATACTAATTTGAACCTAAGTGCTGATTGATTAATTTTATATGACAATTCCATTTCAGAAATGAAGAGTTCAGCAAAACTTTGTAAAAAGCGTGCAGAGAAAAGGTTGTAGAACTGAGCATTTTTTGTCATCTCAGCGACTTTCCTAATTTGTGATCAAGAAAATCAATATCCCGTGCAAACTGCTGCCGCTTCACTCTCTATTACAAAGAGAATGAGACAATGTAAACAAGATCCCTTCAGGTATATAATTAATGCACCACAATGCCTGATAATACATAACACATCTATCAAGTTCTGCTGCGGTGCGATGACAGTAACCGAGTTAAATTCTACTCTGAACTATACATCAGTGTCAGTGCAGTGGGTTTCTATTCAGCAAAATGTGCAATAACGCCGGTTTTATGGGTTTGAGGCCACTCGTGAAAAATGAGCGCACTAATGTGATAGTTAGGTACTTTAAAAGGATTGGCTCAGGTTCTTGTACAAGATTCAGAGATTCATGTTCTCGGACCAAATCTGCAGAACGTGTAAAACTGCGAATTGGGTTAGGCACGCGTTCCGCTAGTCGATCAGTGAGCTAGTGACTTGTTACATAGTCAGTCATTCTGTGACAACCTGCGGGATAGAGTCTGGCTCCGTGCCATACCCCTGTCAGCAGTTTGGTAGGAGAATGAGGCAGAGGAGAAGGAGGACGAGGAGGGAGGGTTGTAGGTGAAGGAGGAGTGAAACGAGGAACAAGAGGAGGCAATGAACAGAGAAGTAAGAGGCTGTGGCAGGGATGACGGGCAGCTCACTAACAGCCTTTTTGCGTCTATTAGAGCTCTCATATAGGGATAAGAGAGAGACGGCGGGGTGAGGTGCTGGAGTTCTCTCTTGGACCTGTATCTGACTATTACGCAGACGCACACAAGCACACACATGCACAAAGAGACAACGACGTGAACAAGACAAACCAACCGCTGTTACTGTCGATAGCTCATAAAGCTTGACCTCAGAAAGCCCGTTGCCCGCTTTTGGCTTGCTGTGCTGGATACTTAGCAGAAGCTTAGAGGGACTTGTGAAGGCCCTGTAGCAGTGCCCCAGTAAACAACTGCGGAGGCCTCAGTCCCAGATCAACAACCGAACTCAATAACAAGCAACAAGCGTGCAGTGTGCCGGGGACCCATCTGGACACTGGCCGACTGAAAGCTGCACTTGTTTTTTATGCCATGAATTCCACCTTTGTTTTAAAGCCAATTTTGAATAATTACAAAAGCAAGGGATTTAATCAGGGACCAGCTGTCTGAAGCAATGTGCACGCGTGTGTTTGTGTACACCGATGAGGGCCCCGCATCAAAGTGAATCGGAATATCACAGAGGAGCAGCAATGGCAACATCTGAAGTTCCCTATTAATATGGCACACACTGGATCGCGCTACCACTTCCCGCCCACATGCATGCGCAGTCACAGGCACCCATGCACAGGCGTAGACTTTATGTGTGCATAGAAACATCGGCGGCATGCGGCGATAAGAGCAGAACCATCTGTCTCTCTATTACACATAGAGTGAATGTGCGAAAGACGCTGTGTGGTTAATGGGCTCGTACAATGTGCTATTGTCTTCCAAAATGACACAACAAAATCTGCTGAGGTGTGCGACAGACCATCCATCTGTCTGTCACAGGCAGCATCTGCAACACCCGTGATGAGCTTTGAAACTGAACACTGATCAGCTGATAAAACCCAACTCAAGCATTTTAATTTTAAGCCAGACGCAAGATGCTGATTTAGACAGATGCTGCTTAAAGTTCCATAAATTGTTAAGAAACAATCATTTCATTGCCACATTCATTCATTTGGAAAACTACTGATTGGGCCACCAGGAATCTAGACTGTGTGCTCATTGCTGGACAGGAGGAAGGAAGCATTGCACAACAGAACTTTTATCAACTCAAAAGTTTACGTAAGAGGCAAAGCAAGAGATGCAATACATCTGATCTCTAGATTTAGTAGTAACAAAACTCTGGGAATAGATCCATATTAAAAAAAACTTTTAAAAAAACCTACAAATACAGATCAAAATGACAAACTCTACCCTAGCTTTGCTTTGATACTACAGAACATCTTCAGAAAAGGAAAAAGAAGACGGTGGATAATAATTCAATCAAGAAAGACACAACCAGTACTCATGTGCAAGTAAAGGGACTTAAACTGAAAAGAAATATTAACGGTTAATTGTAGCATGCGAGTAAGTAAACATGCAGTTTACCTGAGCGATTCGGCCATGCGCCGCAGGTCCTCGTTCTGCTGCTTGAGTCGCTCCAACTTGGCCAAGATCTTGGAGAGCTCCCGGCTGGACCGCTCCGGATGCTCGCTGTCCCTCACCAAGTGACCACCAATGTAGAAGAGGAGTGTTCCCCAGGCCAAAAGCACCAGGGTAATCCAACGCCATGAACCCGCCCAGGGCCGCATGTTTCAGCAACGCGACCCAAAAATGCCTCTAGGTGTGCCTGTACACCCACCGAACCGCCGGCCTCCCAGCCGGATGCGCACACGCACTTTGTGCTCTGTCACCACAAATGCCACAGTGGCATTGACATCTCGGCAGGTATGGGAAATGACAGATGGGAAATGTGTCTGTTTATGACCAAGGAGTGTTTGGTAAAAATACAGTGGGTGCTTCTCCGCCAATAAACCAGCCTCTCCTCTGTGCTAAAGCATGATTGGCTAATATGCTCAAAAGTCTGAGTTTTCACAGCCTGATTGGTATCTTCTCTCCTCCACCCAGATCCCTGTTGACAAGGTCGTCCAACACCACCTTTCTGTGTCCTTCCACTCCCACAGGATATGTTTTATTCAAGTTGCATCCTGTAGAATAAAAGAAAGACACTGGACTTAGTTAAACTTGTTGCACAAAGTTTTGATTTGCAAATACATTCTGTGCTTAATAGGGAAACAGAAGCAAATTACAGCCACTGAATAGTTTGCCAAGTAGGTCAACTTGGCAGAAGTATTCCTGAAGAGGAGAAGCGGAGAGCAAAGCATCCAACTGAAGAGTGCAATACAGAAACAGTGTGGAACAGGTCAGACAAACAGACTGGCAGACAGACAGCCAAGATGCTGCTGACTAGTCCTGACATAACCCTGTCTCAGCAGCCTACAGGATTGATCAGTGTGACACTGCAATTTGCATATACGTAGCGATGTGCAATCCCTAAGCTATGCTGCACTGCTGTCGAGGCAGGACAGGGACGCACACATATTCCAGTCTGTCAACAGTCACTTCTTCAACATGCACGAAGTCGACACACAGAAGCCTCTATGCGAAGACATTTTTATTTCACGAACCGGACACAACCACTAATTCACCTACAACCGCCCTTCAAACACGCTCTTCCTCGATCTTAGTTAAAGCACAACTAAATCCGACATTTAACAGAATACAACACTGCCAAGGTGATACAGTGAGTTAATAGGGCAGAGAAAAAAAAAATCCCTGGATCATCACTTCCCTTCATTCTCAAAGCAGCGGGGGAGATTTTGATGGACGCGCGCCGGGTTTATGAAGCAACCTTCGCTGTCAACTCCCCAACAAAGCCCTGCCACGCAATAGAGACTAGTCCTGTGATGGGATGAAGACTGGCAGATACGCGTGCGTGTACAGTTCATCCAAGTGAATGTGTGTGTGCGCTAACATCTCTGACTGTACTGAGTGTGCTGGAGTAATGCCAAGCATCTTAGTCTTTATGTGAGCGGAGCTGGTGGGATGGGGTTGATTGACAACGTCACGATGTCTCTGGTGTTTCTTGTTCTGAGCTTTTCAAGATAGAAGAAAACGTTCCTGCTGGAGTTCGCCTGGCAGCATGGAAGTAGGTTAAGAGTAACTAACCATGTATGCCATAGCAGCATAGCTGATATGTAGGCCACTAATGGTGCCATGTTGCAGTGCTATAGAAGCTGTTCATGCTTCAGTGGCGCAAACTGCCCAGAATGCAACAGCTGAGATCTCTGAAACAACGAGCTGCAAACAATTCATCTTCATTCCTCACCAAATGATGTGGGATTATTAAAATCTGAGCAGACATTCCTTCTTTGCCGGTGCTCCTTTAGTGACTAACCTGGGCTGACACAAGGGTGGCTCTCCTTTATGCATGCGGCAACACAGATTTGCTGAGCTGTGTTTTATTATGGAAAATAAGAGGTGCGAGAGGATAGCACTCCACCAGCTAATGCACGACTGGGACTTTACTAAAAGCCAGGCTGCATAAACCCTTGTCACTGTGTTTGAGGGAATATAATGAGGTTCGTGTGCAGCAGACTAAAACTGATAAATGCGAAACTGCCGGATGAGACAGGCAACTGCTGCCAAATCGGATATGAGAAAATTCTGAGATAAAATTTCTAGCTATTGGTTCTACTTATACAAAAAAAAAAAAAAGAGTTAAGCTGAGCTAGTAATATTTTAACCGGTATAATAAGAGAACTTTGGGGAAATTAACATAAGGAAATGGGCTTACTGGGACACCAACTAGTGAAGTGGTATCAGTCAAGATAATGAAACGCTAAAAAAGGACAAAATACACATATACACACACAATAAATTAAAAAAAAAAAAGATTAAATTCATCTTCATGACAATCACTAACAGCACTTCAAAAAACAGCTGTATAAGCTATTCTGTGGCTCTGGATGAAGCCCTCTGAAGTCTGAGAGGTCACCAGTACTGGCTTGAGCCAGGCATCAAAAATATTTGACAGAGAAAGTGTGATATAAAGTGGAGACTTCACAGAAAAGGTTATTCATCAGCAGGGACTGGCAAATGAAGAGAATACCGCGTTGAATTATGGGGAACAGACCTATCCCTAAATCGTCACTCGTACTAGACATACTAAGTCTGAAAACGTTATGCTGTGCAAGTCCTCTTTATCACTTTAAGCTACTTTCGGCTGCCCCCTTATTCAGAAGGGGGTTGTCACATGATTTGGTGGATTTCCACACTGGATGCCTTTCTTGATGCAGCTCCAAAAGGGATTTCTGTCTCCTCTTGGGATCAAATAGGGAATCTTGTCCTTGTTCTCTCATAGGATGACAGACAAGGAGCACCTTTGATGGGTCACCAGTCTACTGCACGGCCGTGTAGTGTACACGGTATATCATATATGAAAACCAAGCACAATAATCTTCTGCACTAATGACTAAAGTTAGTAATGGAAAGCCACAAAGTCAAGCTCAGCCACTTTACTGGCAGATCAGCCCATGGCTCATTTATTCTTCTTGGCAATCTCAGATATGCTGCATGATTTAACATCTTGTCTCTCACTCCATATCTGCAAGCTGCTTTGCAACCCACCTCAGTGTGAGCTCCACTTTTTCGTGAGCTAATATCCATTCACTTATGGGCTAGATCTCAGTATGTCAATGAGGTTATTAAGCTCTCTAAATGCTGAAAGTGAGAAAAATCAGCCATGTCACTGAGAACACAAGGTGTCTAGATGTTAAATAACACAACCTTGGATCAACCACTTGCAGTTAAACCAAAAAAAACAAAACAAAACAAACAACATAAAATAGAAATACTCATTAAGAGGTTGAAAACCTAAAGGATTATTGGTTAATTCTATCTCCTTATATTAAATCCATCTTTACTAACTGCACATTATGACAATTATCAAATCCTGTCAATGTCTCCATAAAATGAATGAGGAAGGTTTAACAAATCCTTTTCATTGTGCCTTACAGCTTAGCTTTGGCTGTGATGAAATGTCAAAGGAAAAGAGAATCACATACAATGACTCTTCTAATTAAATGAATGAGGAGATATCTATTCAATATGCAGAATGTGGCCTGATTAAAGAGAAAATGTTTTCTACTATGATACTTTTGATATAATTTATTCCACTGATGAAGATCTGTCAGTGAAATATGTTACTAGAAATATAGCTGATTCGAGCCAAGCACTGAAGATTTTTGCATTTTTGCAAACCTCTCACATCTGCCCTTGAGTCAAATGGGGGGTACATAAATAATGGAAATTATAATAGTCAGTTAAATAAATGAAAGTTCCCCACTGTGGCACAATCATTTTTAAGCTGGACTGGTTGACAGATATGCTGACAATGAGATTTTAGAGAAGTTGGCCATTTCGTGCCTCTTCTTTGTTCCGCTTCCTTCCCCCAAACCCCTCCTCCCTATCCCACCAAGTACAGTAGAACCCCCCCCCCCCAGAGTTGTCAGGTTTTAGCAACTACAGACAAAATGAAATACGTGGCTGCTTCGGCCTGAATGTGAAGTCCTACAATTTTATGAGTGGAAGGAATAAGTGCTGCTCATAAACAGAACCTTGGTCTGCGCCACCTACATGCTCCAAATCTTCCTTGTGACCTTGGGTTTCAAACATCATCATTCTCTCACTATGCCCTTCACGGTCAAGGCTGGTGTGGTACATGTGGCACTGCAGGGTGGACTGTCAGACCTGTCACAAAATGTCACTGTGCTGTGGCAACATAAAGAAGCCCGAGGGGTCAGCAGAGTTGACCCGTTTTCACTCCTGCTGGTGATTCTTCCGAGTGACTAAGGCTGCAGCAGAGGTTATCTCTTATCAACGGCCTCCGGTCTCCAGACAATAAGCGCCGGGATGAGGTCCACTACTGAATTATGCATGCGGCTCTGCTTAGGACGGCTTCTATTACGCCAACACAACCACTCTACTTCGAGGACAACTCTAAGAGAGTCACCTATACGGCTATAGATAGTAACTTATCGTTTTGTTGGCGGAGGAGATGCATTGGTGTGTGTTGCTAGGGCAACCCTGAGGAGGACATATAGCAGATTGTGTTTGTGCTGTGGTTTATAGCGCGGTGGCAGGGAGATATGATGCATGTGTCTAGAAAACAGACAGGTAGAAGAGGATAAGGAACAAATGCAGAGCAGCAGTGAAAGAATGCCGATGGGGGGAAAAAAATGTAAGTGGAAAAGCCATTTACACATTCATAGCTCTGATGCAGAAATATCTCTTTGACAGATGAATCTAAATGTGACCTATGATTGAAAAGAAGATGTATTTTCTGCTGATACTGTCAACGTATTCAACAGAACTGTGAATTTTCCATCCCAGCATATCGCCGGTTGGAGACACGCGATTCTCCATATCAGCTTACGAGCACAAAGCAGGGGGCATTCTTGCTGGTGTTTGGACGGCACAGATGTAGCAGCACTGGCGTCAATTTTTAACCATTATTTATCCTCCAGCAAGTGAACAAGCTGTTGTTGGAGAAGCAGCCTTTTAAAAAATAAAGAAAGAAAAGCACAAAGCTGCACTGGTTTCTTATGGTTTCCTTCCAAACGCTGTAGAGCAGCCTTTCTGATTATTTTGTCAGCTGGTGTTGAGGTGTAGTCCAGCGACCTTTGATTCCTTAGGCTTCCTGTTTACATGGGAAGGACGATATATGTAGTGGAGTCGTAGGGTTGACACATTTTAAGTATTGTATAAATACATCAAATGTAAAATGAGTAAAAGAATCAGGGAATGGTATTTATCAGACTACCATTAATGTCTGCTAATATCACAGTGCCAAACAATGACATTTATCTTTGGCTGGTGCTTATCCAGGAATTATTCAGTGTGCTCACAACCCTGCTCTGTCATTAGAACAGACTGTGTCCCTTGTTCTTCATTCTCAAAGTGGGAGATAAAACCCTTGGTGTCTCAATGTCAGACTTGAGAGAGTAACAAGAGCTTCACCCACCATTCCATTCAACATGCAAACTTATTTAAAAGGAACTCTAACTACCAGCCAAACTGTTATTTAAAAAACATTATCGGGCCAGAATTTTAAAAACTGGTGCCTTCCTGCTTAAAAAAGGATCCA